AGAGAGAGAGAGAGAGAGAGAGAGAGAGAGAGAGAGAGAGAGAGAGAGAGAGAGAGGTCTGTGAGCAGGAGGCATCTTAATTCCACTTCATGCAGACATTGTTCACTGTGACAACCAACTTTCCATGGTGTTGTTGTCCACCGATGAATGTGACTTCGATTTGCATTTGGACCCAAGTAACAAGGACTGGAACACTTGTGCAGGATCGTACTGCCACGAGGGCAAGTTAAATTGGGCTACGTACCGGCAGCTAATGAGTCAGCCTGCTGCCCTTGATAAAAGAAAGCATTTTTTTTAACACATGCACGTACACACACGCCCAGACATGCACGCAGGCACCCATCCATCTATCTACGCATGCACACATGCACACATGCAGACATGCAGACAATAACAGAGATTGGAGAAAATGGGGAGGAGGACGAACTTACCAGCTGTGCAACAGGCATGAACATGAAAAGAAGCGTTGCAGTCCATCCAGAGAGCTGCGACCACAAGCTCCGAAGATTTTCAGGCAATCTCCCGGTGCGACTCTGCAAAGGCACAGATGAAGATCAATCTCCCTCCTGGAAAGGTGGTGTAAAATACTAAAATGAACGCGTTTTACTCGACGAATGTGGACCACATTGCTGCAGAAACACCTTTGAACGTGTCTACCAAAAGGCTTGTCCCCCTGACAGAGAACGACTAGATTGGCAAGGAAAGAGCCTCGTGGAAGTGGTACCGAGATTGGGAACGAGATTGGGAACGAGATTGGGAACGAGATTGGGAACGAGAGGACCTTGTGTGTGGAAGTGGTACCTAGATTGGTAAGGAGACCCCCTGATGCTGAGAAGGACTGCCTTCTTCCCCCGAATACAATGTACGGTCATTATGGTTGTATTAAATGTATTTAGACTGAAAGATACCCCACATACAGCTATCATTACCGTAAGTTGTATTCCGGGGAAGAAGGTAGATTGGGAAGGAGAAACGAGAGCGTCTCATAGAAGTGGGTACCTAGGTTGGGAGGGAGAGAGCCTCGTTGAAGTGGTACCTAGATTGGGAAGGAGAGAGCCTCGAGGAAGTGGTACTGGCAGTATTACAAAGTACTACAAAGCACAACAACGAAGTACAATAAAGTACTACAAAGAATAAAAACCGCAATCCACACACAAACACGGACCCATGCAAGATAAAATTGAAACGATGGCTGATTCTCGAGTTCATCCTGAATGAAACTTTCCATAGTGAACACACACTGATATCTCCATAGTTTGCTGATACGTCAATAATATGGGCAGAACGCAGAAGCTGTACCGACAACGTGAAAAGTTGTGCCGCAGAGAGTTAAGTTCAGTTAACCACGTTTTTTTTTTCTTCTCGAGAATGAATAACAAACACTCCTATACAGTTGAGGATAGATTGCCCCCCATTTTTTTTTTTGGCATTCCATGCACTTACTTCTAAACAGGTACCCGCAGGAGCGGCTGCGATTACGACACGGAACTGACCCTACTCCCACTGTATCCAACTCCTTTTTCAGTACAAAATTACTAGAAATACAGAGAATGAAAGACGATAAATGAGAGCGGAAGGGAAAAAAACAAAAAGGAGGGAGGAATGTGGAGAATCTACTAGACTCACCAAGATGATGAAAACACACCCTGCAAGTCCTGCAACAAGTCCCGGAAAGAAGCTTACACCGCGTGCACTTGGCCAGATGGTAGACCAGATGGTAGACCAGACGACCTGCAAAGAAAGTCGCGGCCACTTTTGTCAATTGACTCAATCTTATGCTCTTTTTTTTTTTTTTTTTTTCCGATCTTATGCTGACATTACATTATCTGTGTTTCGCTTTTCGGTTCAATTGATTAATCATTAAGGTTCATAACTTCGTATTGTGTCTTGCGCTTCAACATAACGAGCATAGGGAGAGAGGCAATGGGGCAGGGAAAGGTGGTTTCACAGCCAGACAGGGAGTGAGCATTTAGATAGGGAGACACAGGAAGAGACAGGGAGTGAGCATATAGATAGGGAGAGACAGGGAGTGAGCATATCCCTCCTCAATCAATGGGTACTAGAAAGATCTAAACAGGAGAGAGGGGCTATGAACGAAGCTGGCAAGTGAGAGACGTGGTCCCTCCTTGTGTCCACGAAAAAAAAAGCCTTGTTTGGAGGGAAATTTGCAGCTCTGCCCCATTACTACCTCTCTCTCTCCCCGGGGAGAGAGAGGTATCAATGCCACAGGATTTCTCTAAGGCAGAGTCGCAGCTCTGCTACCATCCCCCCGAAAAATTGCAGGTTTTTTGTTGCAGATGCACAATTTCACAATAGCTCAACTGATGCATTTCAAGCACTTTTACTTACTGTATATTTAATCCTGCTCACTCCCTTGTCGTTTCTCGCCAAAAACTATTTGTGCCTGTTCACTTATTCCGTCCACTGGTTCGTCACAACTGGGCCTGCTAGTCGCCAGCAGCTTTGCATACAGTTGCAATGGCTTGCTGATTTCTACTATCGAGATCTGACTGCGAGGTTGCACAGTCGCATCTTAGGGTCAGATTCATAATTTTATTTGTGTCAGGGACTAACCGCCAGTTTAGTCTTCAGAGGACTTTGTGAGGGACATATCTGCAATTTCTGGAAAAATTGCAGACCCGAGTTCCCCTTGGCCGTTATCGCCCTTAGCAGACCCGGGCTATCACTGAGACAGCCGGCCCATCCGGGCCTTGGGCTGTAGAGACGGAATAGGCGCCGTATAGCCGGGTAGGGTCCAGGCCGAACAGGCCAAACTGATGCGGTACCGGTCCAGTAGGTCTAGGTTTAGAGTAGGCAAGTCTATTAATAGGACTGAGCCGGTAGGTTAGGGACTTTTTGGCATTTCATTTTAGCGATACAGCGTTCTGGAGCCAAGCAAGTTGGGTGGTGGTGATTGTCTACAGGCGGCATCCTGAGACCCTCATCGTGGATGGCAGCCATAGCCAGCCTGCTGGTGCTTGCCATAGCTGGGGCACCCCCTGAGCATCTACCCCTGAGGGTATCTGCGATTGGCTGGGCTGTTCGGAGGCTCTTCACTGAGCGTATGTGGGTGGACCACTGTCGCCCTTCACTCCTTAGAGATTGTCAGGGCTTCGTCAGTGGTGTGGCAGCCATAGCTGCCATCTTCTTCGTCAGAGTTACTCATCGGCACTGAAGACTTCATCGCGATTCATGTTCTTCACCTGGATGGTTGGCGCTGGCCTCTGGGAGGCGGATTGACTGTTGTGCTACTAACTGGGTGCAGGATAGAGAGTAGGGTGTGGTGTTCTGCAAGTGGCGAGATAATGAGATAAACTCTGTAACGATAATTGGGACAATTGGTTTGAGTTGGCTCATCATCAGTGTGATTCCGATTGTTATCCTCGCAGGTGTCTTCTTGTGATTGGTTGTTGGGAGTCTGTCAGAGAGTGAGAACCACTGTGTGTCTTCTCCCCATCTGTGCATGGTTGAATTCCGCTGCTTATCTTTGTCTGTGTGCAGTTTGGACTCTGTCTCCTCTCCCCTTTGTCTGGTATGTGTATGGGCGTGTGTCAGACACTCTGTGTGTGAGTGGCAAGAAAATCGTCAGACAACCAAGTTCATAACACGCCAGCTGTCTCTTATACACATCTAGATGTGTATAAGAGACAGCACACACACACACACACACACGTTTGCGCCTCAATACGTCACCACCCTCCTCTTACGCTGCATTGTCTTGCCTCACTGTCTTAACCTCCCCTGCATTTTTTTTTCTTCTGTACTTTCTATACTCTTCTCTCAACTTCTGCCTCACTGTCTTAACCTCCCCTGCCGTATATATAATATATATCGTCACAAACAGATATATATATTGTCACATATATATTGTCACATAAAGGCAAAGAGGCAAAGAAAAGAGGAAGGGAACAGCCAAATACAACAAAACAGGGGGAAACAAACATAAACCAATCCTAGACGACAAGTCCCACATATATATATTAGGAGCCCTTCTGATACCTTGCCTCAAGATCCTACCACTCGTACTCCTATTCCTGCATACGTTTTTCTCGTACTGCAGGATCTTCTTAATGCTCATACCATGCCTATGTAGTATGCACATTTCCTCCTCCTATTCCCCCTTCTCCTCTCTTTCTCCCCCTCTTCCATTTGCATCCTTTCCTCCCCTTATCCCAGGACCTTCTGAATGCTCCCTCTTCCTCCTCTTCACCCCTCTCCTGCCCTTAGGCCTTTGTCAGACATTTGACTCCATTCCCCCTCCCACATCCATCTCTCTCCCTCCATTGTACTCCTCTCCTCTCTCCAATCATTCCTCTTGGCCTCTCCGTAGCCTCCAATCCTTCCTCTCATCCAGCTGCCATCTCTCATTACCGTCTTCGTCAGCTAAGTGCTCACGTGCCTATGCGACAAAAGGCATGAAGCATAAACTACACTGAATAATCTATGCCCGGATGATTTTTTCTTACGCTCCCCACTATCATAAAAAAATTTTAGTTCCCTTCCTCCTCTCCCTCCTCCTCTCCCTCCTCCTCCTCCCCCTCCCCCTCCCTCCTGTTCTTCTTCAATGTTGTGCATCATGGCCATCAGCGCTTGCCAATGGCAACCCCTTCTTTTTTTTTTTGCCTGTTTTTGGTTTGGTTCAAGCTTGCTGGGTGGCAAATTTGGTATCATTTGGGCCATTGGATTTTCCTCTGCCGCGTCCTTCGGGACATCCGTTAAAATTGGAACGATACAGAGAAGATTAGCATGGCCCCTGCGCAAGGATGACACGCATAAATCGAGAAATGGTCCAAGTTTTTTCCTCTCGTCTCTCCGTGGCGAGCGGGTCTGGTGGCCTTTTATTTATCTCGCTCATTTTCGTGACGCGAAGGCAACACCCGTCCCATATAAAATAAAAAAAGAAGGAATTTCCTCTGACGCATGGCTGTGCCGGCAACCAGCCGGTTGGACCGGGCCGAATCCAACCGGGCCGGTTGGAACCCCGGTGGTCCAACCGGGATTCCGGTTGGGACCCAAAGTGGGTCAAAAAAATAAAAATATATTTTTTTGAAAATATGGTTGGACTGCGCTCACCGAGATCTCCCCGAATCTGCAAAGAAAACTTTGAACAGAGAAGTTTCGTTTGGAAGATGGGGGGGGGAGGTATTTCAGGGGTTGAGGATCGGGGGTTGAGGGGGTTATGGTGAGGGTGTTAGTGGTGGGGTTTCAGCAAGCACGGGCTTCAGCAGACATTGACAACAACGTACCTGGCTTTCTGCAAACGTTAACCTTCTGCCCAAAACTTAGCACGCTGGGGGTGTTAGTGGCAGGGTAGGGATAGTACTTCCCCCCCGGGTTATAGTGCAGGGGGGTGGGGGTTATAGTGTTAGGGGGTGCTTGTCACTGCTGTCTGGTCCAAGTTGCCCTCGATACTGCTAGGGTGATGGTCCTGAGTGCTGGTCACACTGAGGTAGGATAGTAGGGATAGGGGGTGCGCTGGGAGCATTAACGTGGGAAAGGGTAGGGAAGGTGGCCTATCCTGTCAGGACAACCACTGGCTGCCGCTGCCGGTGATCACCGTGGGTCTAGTCCTTGGCCTCAACAACACCCTGGGCTTAAAAAAAAAAAAAAAAAAAAAGGCGCTACGGCCAACCGGGGGGGAACCGGCCCGATCGACCGACCGGTAGGACCGGTCCGATTCCGGTTGGGGGAGGGGCCCCCGGTCCTACCGGGTTTGCAGCTCTGCTCTGATGAGATTTCTGAAATTTCTCAAGATTTCTGAAAATTTTTGGAATTTTGGCAAAATTTTGTGAAAGCGCCCTTTTGCCTTGCTGTTTTATAGGGGTTTTGTAACTTTTTTTTTTTTTTTTTTCTGGGTAAGTAGTTAGTATGATCTCCACCCACTCTATGAATTGGCGGCAAGTTTGGGTAAAATGACCCTTGGGTTTTGTTATAAATGGCATGACAAGTTGTCTTAAAATTGAGGCCTCTGTTAAGCGCCTCTCATTTGGCAGAAGACATTAGGCTCTCATGTAGCTGGCAAACATCGCGTGCAATGAATTTGCAAGGGAGGCAAAAGCGTACCAAGCGAACGTGGAATGGAAAGAGAGAGTTTTCTAAGGACCGTACTGCACTTCTTTTCTATCAAGTTTCATACGATCGCAAACAGATCAACTCTGTTTGACTGATGGATGGAATGGGAACCTCATCTTTCATTTCTCTTTCGAATCTCATCTGAGAGCATACTCACACTAGGCCCTCGAACTCGCAAAAGAAATCACAAAATGAGCGGCCAGATCGAGTCCTTGTAAAGGAAGGACTAGATCTCGCCGCTCATTTCGGGATTTTGCGATTTTGAGGGCCTAGTGTGATTGTACCCTGAGGAGTCCAAACATAATACGTACGACGACAGGGTCGGACCAGAGAGGATGGACAAAATGGGAAGCCATTTCAAGCCGCACAAAAACCTGAAAAACTGAACTCACCAGGGGCCAAGGAAGAGGGTTTCGGCCTTTTAGATTTTCAAGATTTTCACCACTTGAGAACCTTCAGGATCTTCAGGCAGACAGTTTCAGTTTTCGGACAAAAAAAAAAAAGGAAAAAAAAAAAAAGAGAGGAAGGATCTTCAGGGAGGCAGTTTCAGACTTTTATAGGACTTCAGGGAGGCAGTTTCAGACTTCAGGGAGGCAGGATTTTATAGCCCGCTTCCGTCTTTCAGATTTCCCGGATTTTTTTTTTTTTTTTTTTTTAAGGGTTGTGGAGGTGTTGGGGATTCAACTCTAATCGGGGAGCCGGCGGGAGGCTGCATCCACCAGGTTCAGCCAACCCGTTGGCGTGGTGGCCACAAAACATCCATTTTTGTCCGCTACTAGCCCCCCCCCCAAACTTTTGGACATATATGTTTGCACTAGCACGATTTTCCCCGAGGCCATGTCGTGCGGGTGGGTGTAAGCTTAGGCCCTGGGAAGTCCTTCTCATAGGACGATTAGGCCCGGGACATTTTTGATCTTGCCTGATGTCCCACCTAAGTGGCCGAACTCAGGATTTTCACCACTTGAGATCCTTCAGGGTCTTCAGGCAGACAGTTTAGGGATCTTTTCGGACAAAAAGAGGAAGGATCTTCAGGGAGGCAGTTTCAGGACTTTTATAGGATATTTAGCCCTGAACATCTGTAAGAAGCACCCGAGTAGAGAAGGGATAAGGGAAGCGAACGAGGTTCGGGCACTTCGGTGGGACATCAGGCAAGTTAAAAGAAAATGTCCCGGGCCTAATCGTACTATGAGAAGAACTTCCCATGGCCTAATACTCTGACAGGGTTGTCGTAATTCCGATTGAGTAGCCACTTGGAGTTGGCAGTACTGTTTTGTTTTTTGCTTTTTTGACTTATTCTTTTTTTCTTTTTTGTTCCTTTCGTTTTGGCCCGTGTGCTTGAGTGTTTGATTCGAGGTTTTGTCTGTAGGCGTCAGTCCCGGCCGGCATGGCCTGTGCCCTTGGATGGTTACGTAAGAATGGGACCCTCTACGCGTGACGTTTCGCATGGGGGTACTCATGATTTCTGTTGGCCCCCTCGTTTATTGGGGTTTGACCCTTGGGTACAAGTTTGTTTTCTAATTTTAGCCGCTTGAGTAGGACACCCGGACCGGGCCTGTAGCAGGCCGGATACCGGGCAGCATGTTTTGTCATGGTACCTTGCCCGCATAGACTATATAGTGTGCGAATGCGACTATCTCGACCTCTCATGGAACGCTCACTGCCGTTCGCGGCAGTGATCGTTGGGTATGTGGAATGTTTGGCGGTTCTTGGGGAAGTGGAATGTCAGTTGCCGTAAATTTCGAGAGTTTGTTTTTTCTACACACTATGCTGTCTTGTCTTTCGCTTCGGTGTAATTCACTTCTGTGTGTGGACTCGACTCCGTCTTGTCGCTCGCTACAGTGTATCTCACTTCGTTGTGTGGACTTGACTTTCTCATACCCGAGACGAGATATGATGCTAAGCTTACACCCACCCGCACGACATGGCCTCGGGGAAAATCGTGCTACCGTCTTCACCCGACTAGAACGCCCTGTCATTATAGCCGTATTCGGAGCAACTTTCCGTCTAGATACAGCGATAATAACCGGGCGTTCTATTCGGGTGAAGACGGTAGTGCAAACATATATACCCAAAAGTTCCGGGTGAGGCTAGTAGCGGACCAAAATGGATGTCGCCGCAGCCGAAAAGAAGGAAAAGTGCACAGCGCTTGCGAATTTCGTTTTCTGTCGGTCACGCTGCGCTTGCGAAACTCCTATAAAAAAAAAGACGTAGCGGTGGTTTAAGTTAGCAACAAGGCAAGGATGAGGAAGGCCGAAGACGCGACCAGACGCTTTATGAATGAAAAAAAAATGCACCTACCTCCTATCACCACGCAGTGCTTGCGAAACTCCTTAAAAGAAATAAACAGCCTTGGACGTAGCGGTGGTTTAAGTTAGCAACAAGGTAAGGATGAGCCAGGCCGAAGACGCGACCGGAGGCTTCATAAATGAAAAAAAATGCACCTACCTCCTACCCACCTCACCCTTGGGCTAACAGATAAGGAAAAGGCGAGATTGGAACACACGCAGGGACAATTACGGAAAACGCGATCGCAAATCGCATACCACCTTTGCTGCAGCTGGGCACACCTCCGACTTGCATGTCGCTGACCGCCGCTGCCTCCACTGCTACACCGATGTGTGCCGCTGTGTGTGCAAAGGCGAACCTGCACGACGAGCAATTCACCATGTAAGCGTCAGCAGGCACACATTGGTACGAAGCAGTGGCGCCCAGCCGGTTCAACTTCGCTTGCACAGTGTTTGACGAGGGAGGGTGTGAGCACAAACTCAAGGCCATATTCGTTTTTGACCGACTGAACGAGGCTGTAATTACAATCAAACATACATTCAAGAAAGCCCCAAGATTTTTCTTCGACGTATGCGATTGTAATTCCAGCCTAGCTCAGTCGAAAAGGTCTTCCTTTGGCTTCAAAGCAAAACCTTTAGTGCTTCAATGAAAATAACAGTACACGGGTTCACGAAGAGTCAAAGAAGCCAATCTGTCCATCAACCCCCTCCCCCTCTCCCCCTCTTTTTCCTCGGTCCTCGTCCCTCTTCTCTCTTCTATATGTGACACGGAGAGATGACGGATGGGACACAACATCACAAAAGGAACGAGGGAATGTCACTCTCCTCGACTCAACACAAGTTTGTGGTTTCAATGAAGAACGGCGTGCATCCTCACCTGTCACACAAGGACGTTTGCATGTGACGTACCTGACCCCATCCATATACAGCCCGTTTTCGTGCAGAAGAAAGTCAACTAGCGTTAGCATGCCACGCCTTAAAAAGGGCATTCTCGCTCATAAAAGGACGTTTCACACTACAATAACTTTTCCCACTGGATGCATCTGACCGCAAATACAACCCTTCTGTTCAAAATGGCATATTACCACTAACACTGGTCTTACTTAGCATACGCCATGTCCTTAAGAGCACACTACCTGCTGCGCACATCACCTGGCCATGGGGAGAAAGTGTCGTCTAGTAGGGCCTCAAGGGCCTCAAGGCCTCAAACCCACGGCCTCAAAATCGCCTTTAAGTTTTAAAATGTAAACCACCACTACGCGGCCCAGGCAAAACAAATATCTGATTATGTTTCTTGGGTGTCTAATAATATAAATTAGACTAAGAAAAAAAGGAGCGAAGCAACGAGTATGGGCGTCACCACACCAAGCTTGAAATGCACAAAATGGGAATGAACATCCTGCTAGAAAATGGCCAGATGCACCCGCTACAATCTTGTCTTTTTCACATTTTGATAGCGGTGTGGCGAGGCCCCGTGTATTCTCAAAAACATCCTTGATTCCTTATCACCTTTTGGCAGTAGCGGATGCAGGACCCAGGGTTCGATCCCTAGACCTCACCCTACCCATGTACAGTATCTGTGTAAGACCCCGAGAGTTGAACCCGTGACCTGTGTATTCGTAGACAGTTGGTAGGTCTGTCGTAGGTCCATAAGAAACAGGGGTTCGATCTGTAGGTCTATAGAGTAGAAGTCTTAGCAAGTTCCAGAAGTCTAGCTGTAGTCCTTCTAGAAGGTCGGCAAGTGGGCAAGTGGTCAAGTGGCGAGGCAAGTGGTGGACTAAACTGCAGTGCAATTGCAGTACGTCGACGATAGGATAGCAGTGAGTCCACAGACAGTCAGCGGTAAGGTCCAGTCAGTCCCAGTTCGGTCCAGCAAGTACCACGGGGGACTGTGCACACCATGGGCCGATGGCAAAGGGCAGACCAACGAGTTTTCGAAGTATAAATCAAGAGGCAGCGCCCAGCCTTTCATTCATTCCTGCGTGAGCCATGCGGAAGCGCTGTCACAGCGACTTGTGCAAGGAGGTCTGCAGTGAGCCCGGAGGACGCAGTGGGCAAGAGAGGAGGAGTTAGCATAGCGATAGGGTAGAGGTAGCCATAGCTGCCATAGCTGTAGTTAGTGTGAAGCGTGTGTGCGTATGTGCGAGTATTCAGAGTTACGCRTGTGGGATATCCAGGGTGATCCGGTGTGTGTGAACAGTGAGTTGTTTGGGCGTTGAGTCGCCATAGCCAGTTGAAAGTGAACTCGTATCTGGAAGCCATATCTCTGAGTTTTGAGTGGGCGCATGTCGCCAGTTTGCTGTGCTGCTGTTTACATGCATGAAAAGTGTGAA